TGTTGTGTTACAGGTGTGTCAACAGGTATAACAGTGTTGCTGTGTTACAGGTGTGTCAAGAGGTATAACAGTGTTGTTGTTGTGTTACAGGTGTGTCAACAGGTATAACAGTGTTGTTGTGTTACAGGTGTGTCAACAGGTATAACAGTGTTGTTGTGTTACAGGTGTGTCAACAGGTATAACAGTGTTGTTGTTGTGTTACAGATGTGGCAAGACATCGAGACGCTGTTGATGACTGAGGGGAGCCCTGTGGCGGGGCCCCTGGGGGCTGCCCCGCCCCTGGGGGCCGCCCCGCCCCTGGGGGCCGCCCCGCCCCACGCCACCTACCACTACACCCACACCTTCGCCCCCGCCACGCCGCCCACGCCCCACCTCATCACCTCCCCGCCCCCACCACGACTACATGAGGATAAACCTAAGGTGCAGCCTAAAGGTTCCCCAGGGGGGGCGGTCCCCACGCCCATACCCCAGCCCGCGGCCGCCCACAGCAGCCCGCCCACGCCGCAGCCGCAGCCGCTGCAGTCGCCCACAATGCAGACAGTGGTGGCGGCTTCTCCAACACAGCCGCCTGCGCCGCCACCTCCCCCAGCCGCTGCGCCGCCACAGACGGAACACATATCACAAGAACCCCTCCCCACCAGCCCCCCCCTGCCCTCCCCCGTGGGCGGGGGGGTGGCGTGCCCCCCAGCCACGCCCCCCGCACCTCTCCCCCCGGTGCAGCTCTCCTCCTACCACCAGTACCTCGACCCCAAGTACCAGTGTGTGGACCAGAAGTACCAGGACCCGAAGTACCAGTGTCTGGACCTCAAGTTTGTGTCAAGTGAGGCCAAGTATCCGGTGCCAGACGTGAAGTACACAGCCACCACCACACATGACACCAAGTACACCCTGCCTGACACGGATCTCTTCGTCTCGGATCCCAAGTACACAACCTTGGATCCCAAATTCCAGTGTTCGGATCCCAAGTACGCCACGTACACTAATGTCCCCATCAAGCCGGAAGGAAGGTTCGAACCCCAAGCGGATATGAGCGGCGGCGTCGTCAACTGGACGGTAGACGGGTCTGTGTACTCGTGTAAAGACTGCCCGGTGGCGTCGACACCCTCCCAGTACACCCCCACCTCCTACGTGCCCGACTACACCACCTCCTACTACACCCCGACCTACTCCATGTACACCTCGAGCACTGCCCCATCATGGGGCGTCCCCAGTAACCAGATGACAGTCAGCAGTTACCAGTACTCGGCCCCCATGGCGCCCCTCTCCACCCCCCTCTCACAACCCCCTCCTCCCCCTCCCAAGCCGCGCAGGCGCAGAGCCAAGCGGAAAGTCACCATACACAGTTGCCCTTACGAAGGATGCACCAAAACTTACATTAAATCCTCGCATCTGAAGGCGCACCTGAGGACTCACACCGGAGAGAAGCCCTACCTGTGCTCCTGGAAGGGCTGCGGCTGGAAGTTCGCGCGCTCCGACGAGCTCACGAGACACTACAGAAAGCACACAGGTGACAGACCCTTCCAGTGTCGCCTGTGTGAGAGAGCCTTCTCCCGCTCAGACCACCTCAGTCTCCACATGAAGAGGCATATAGCGATCTGAGGCTCCTCCAGTCACATTTGTCGCCCCATGAAGAGGCATATAGCGATCTGAGGCTCCGACAGTCACCCTTGTCGCCCCATGAAGAGGCATATAGCGATCTGAGGCTCCTAACGTCACCTTTGTCACCCCATGAAGAGGCATATAGCGATCCGAGGCTCCACCAGTTGCCTTAGTCTCCTCGCGGAGAGTAACAGTGGCTCTAAATCTTCCAGAATCACCCCAAGAGAAGGCACAGACCACGAGTCATAGAATTCTTTGCTTAAAGTGTCCAAGTCATGTCTTTAGGTTCTAGTTATTTAAGACTTAAGAAGTGGAAGTTGCTAGCCAGTGGTGACCTGAGGTGCTGGAGGTGGTGGCTGGTTATAATGGCTTTGGAGTGAGTGAGTCTAGTGACATTGTCAGGAAGAAGCGTGTTAAGGAAGTCAGCGTTGGCTCTCGTGTCGTCGAAAGAAAGAGGTGCAACATATGGACAAGAAAAACAGTGTTCTAATCTCGCCACAACGTCGGCCGGGGTTAACCTATTGCAGGAAAACAGCGTTCAAAATGCTAAACCATTGTTCGGTACTGTAACAAGTGGTAAACAAAGGCTCCGGAAGTCATGATAGACGTTCAAACCCCAACAATCTCTAGAGTCGTAAAACATCCTGGGAATCACAATCGAAATGTTTCTGTACCTTTAATATTATTATTTTTTGATACCCACAACCATGCTTTATCATAATCTTTCCCCCAGTATGTACAAAGCTCCCCATTACTAATGCCCTCCTGCCTACCTCTTTATCACCCCATCCCGTGACCCTCTCACCCCCCCCCCATTCTCCTGGTTGTTCCTTCCCCATGCAACCTGCTCTCGCACAAGACAGCACATATATGACTTATTAGATTGATTGATTGATGAAGATTAAACCACCCAAAAGGTGGCACGGGCATGAATAGCCCGTAAGTGGTGGCCCTTTTGAGCCATTACCAGTATCAAGAGCTGATATTGGAGATCTGTGGAGGTGCGACTGCACCCTGCGTTATCTTGAGATGATTTCGGGGCTTTAGTGTCCCCGCGGCCCGGTCCTCGACCAGGCCTCCACCCCCAGGAAGCAGCCTGTGACAGCTGACTAACACCCAGGTACCTATTTACTGCTAGGTAACAGGGGCATTCAGGGTGAAAGAAACTTTGCCCATTTGTTTCTGCCTCGTGCGGGAATCGAACCCGCGCCACAGAATTACGAGTCCTGCGCGCTATCCACCAGGCTACGAGGCCCCTCAACCTCGTAACTGGAGTTACGGGAGATGTTTCCCGGACCAAATGGTGACCAATTGGTCATGACTTATTACTTATTTTCGCTTATAAATAAGTAACTATGTGACATATTCCAAACCATATTTTTTTTCAAGGCACTAACTTTTTTTCTCAGTTTTATTAAACAATGGAGATTTTATACAAAATTTGACAATATCCTGAGTTACTTTACAATTTATTTAAATATTTTAGTTTTGTTTTATTATTTTTATAAAACTGTAATATCAATATAGGTAAAGGTTCAGTACTAATTGTAATATCTTAACATACTAAGAAGGTTAGGTTAGGTTGTGGTTTTCTATTCAGCTTTTCAAGATAAACTCTAATATTCACCATAAATTAGTATGTCACATATGCACTTATTCATAAGCAAGATATTGACTATAAGCAAGTGCGAGAACGGGTTGCCCCACCATACACCCCCTCCCTCACCCCCCTCCCCCACCATACACCCCTCCCTCACCCCCCTCCCCCACCATACACCCCTCCCTCACCCCCCTCCCCAACTGTCTACCTCATTAAAGACTGTTGAGGTCAAGAAGAAACCAGTCACGTGTGCTCCCCTGGTTCCCCTCCCCTCCCCCCCCCAACAACCCTCCCCAAATGGCTGCTTTTCATTGGTCGATGCTAAGTTCTGGCCAATCAAAACACAGCTTGGGACGAATGAGAACTTGTGTTGTGATGGAATGCGTTTCGGAGCTAAATAATTGAAAATATGAATATATGAACATTATAGATTAAATATTAAAGCTCCGAGCGTTCAGAATCGACGTTCTTAATGGCTGAACTAGGAGGCCGTCTCCTGCGGTAGCCAATCACAATGAAGAATAGATTTTAATTGGCAGTATAACTGAGGTTGCCGGCTTCGAGCGCACCAATCACAACACAGGTTCAGTCTGGCTATAAGTGAAACGCGTCTCAGTAATGAACCCTTTAATGGGGCAATTTAGTCAAATGAGTTTTGCCTTAGTAAATACTCCTCGTGTTAATCTGATTGTATTATTTTTTAACACTTTGTAAATACTGTATCTCAGTGTTTTCATATTAACTGTTGTATTTTGTTGTTATCTGTCAGTTGTATGTAATTTGTATTATTCTTGATATTCTCTGTTTGCCTTATTTTCTTGCTTGATATTTTGTGATAAATGTTCTTGCCGCTGTTTGCTGTCTTTAGTGATATATTAAGTTTTCTCCAAGCAGATCTGCGTGGGTTTTCACTGGTATATAATTGATTCAAAGTTATTTATTATATTTCTACGAAAAAGTATAAAATTTTATTTACTATATCTGTTTTTGAACAGTTTGTTAAATAGTTGATTAGATATATGATATGATCATAATTTCTAACTATATTTGAGTATACAGATTTTTTAATTCATATAAAATGAAAACAAAATTTGATAATATTTTTTAATTTAAATTATATATAAATTATTTCCTTAAAGATTTGTATGATTTGAAAGTGATTAAAATTTCAGCTTATTTTCTTACATATCAGTTTCATAATTTATACAAATTTGAAAGTTAAGAAAACATGGATTATTTAGTTTCTCCAAAACTTTTACATTATTTATAAAGCGAAGTTCTCATTGGTCACAGAAAACTGGGCTTCTGGGAGTGACCAATCAAAACGCACTTTACCTACTCAGGATCACAACAGTCTGATCAAAACGATACCATTGCCAGTTTACGTCACTCCTATTGGCTGAAATCTCTTACTAACTGACCAATCCCGTGCTACTCTTACCCATGCATGATTATGTTACAACAGTTTACAGATTCAATATCAATAATTACCCCACGGTTCACTACATGCACATTCTGATCTGGCTATTACAAGTGGTATTACGGGCTCACCATAGCCCGTGCTACATGGACATTTCGTTCCGAGTAACTAAATTTAACACAACATACAAGTGGTAACATTGGTACTTTAAGTGGTAATATCGACATTAGGAGTGCTAACATTGATATTAAAAGTGGTAATATCGGTATTAAAAGTGGTAATATCAGTATTATAAGTGGTAATATTGATATTATAAATGGTAATATTGATATTATAATTGGTAATATTTATATTATTAGTAATATTGATATTAAATGTGGCAATACTGATATTATAAATTGAAATATTGGTATTCAAAATAGTAATATTAATATAAGCAGTAATATTGGTATTAAAAGTCGTATTAATTATATCATAAGTAGTAATGCCGATAATACAAAAGGTGATATCGACATAAGTGGAATTGCCGAGAAAATCAGAGAGCCATGAGAAGGATTCGAACCCACTCATTTGTGTACTCCTAGTGAACGCCCTAACCCACTACACTAAGACCACTTGGGAGAAACAAGTGTACAAGTTCGAATCCTCCTCACAGCACCTACTTATTTTCTCACTGATACATCGTGTTAATGTGATTTCATTGTGCAGTGTTAATATTGATAATATAAGTTGTAATATAAATATTATATATGGTAATAATTTTGCTACATGGTAATATCGATATTATAAACATTAATGTTGATAATATATGTGATAATATTCATATTACAAGTAAAAATATTAATACTACAAGTGATAAATATCTACAACTGATAATATTAATATTACAAGTGTTAATATTAATATTACAAGTGTTAATATTAATATTACAAGTGTTAATATTAATATTACAAGTGTTAATATTAATATTACAAGTGTTAATATTAATATTACAAGTGTTAATATTAATATTACAAGTGTTAATATTAATATTACAAGTGTTAATATTAATATTATCAGCGTTAATATTAATATTATCAGTGTTAATATTAATATTATCAGCGTTAATATTAATATTATCAGTGTTAATATTACAAGTGTTAATATCAATATTACAAGTGTTAATATCAATATTACAAGTGTTAATATTAATATTACAAGTGTTAATATTAATATTACAAGTGTTAATATTAATATTACAAGTATTAATATTAATATTACAAGTGTTAATATTAATATTACAAGTGTTAATATTAATATTACAAGTGTTAATATTAATATTACAAGTGTTAATATTAATATTACAAGCGTTAATATTAATATTATCAGCGTTAATATTAATATTATCAGTGTTAATATTAATATTACAAGTGTTAATATTAATATTACAAGTGTTAATATTAATATTACAAGTGTTAATATTAATATTACAAGTGTTAATATTAATATTATCAGCGTTAATATTAATATTATCAGTGTTAATATTAATATTATCAGTGTTAATATTACAAGTGTTAATATCAATATTACAAGTGTTTTAATATCAACACTACAAGTGGTCCTCTACCTTCCATGTCACAGAACATTGTTATTCAAGAGAGCGAAGAAGAAGAACGTTCTAATCTAGTCACAAGATCTACCCCGGCGGTGTTATACACACGTTCCCATCTTAAATTGTCCTGTTCTTTTATTAATTCCTAAATTACAGTCGAAAGTGAACAATTATAATAATGGTATATAAATTATTTGATAATATATAGAATATATTTGAACATAACCATAATATATTATATATATATATATATATATATATATATATATATATATATATATATATATATATATATATTGGTAGCAGTCTTGTAGACATATGTTACTGAATATGACAGAAAATGGTGAATTACTTTCTAAAAGAATTTTGAGTTAGTAAAGTTATTTAGAGGTCAAAGCATTCTTGTAAAGAATGCAATAAAAATATTGATTTTAGTGGAACTTTGTGTTAAATATAAATCTCTATTTTTTTCAATAACTATAACATAAATTATAGTTTCAAACAATAATTATTACAACTTAACTGTTTAATTATGCAATGTTACATAACTTGGAACTAACATACACTATTTCTTCCTGTAATTGAAGCAACAGTGCAAGCAATAAAATTACCCACAATGCAACAGTGGCTTTATATATATGTTACGTTATAAATATTCTGCATTTGATATTTTTCTATTACAAGTTTGTGTACATCATGTAAATATGTTTTTTATACAGGATGGACGCCAATGTTGGCTTCATAGATTTTTACAAATACATTTTATACCTTATTAAGTTTTTATTTGATCCTGTTGTTTGTGATGATGGTAATAATAATAATATATATTTGTATCTTTCCAAGAAAAGGTTTTACAATATAATAAATCTTTACAAGAACACATCTTGTAAAGCAACATAGAACATAAATAAAGTTGACCCAGAGCATCAGTAAAGTTGACGTAAAACCTTAAACATTAAATTTAACGTAGAACATCAATCAATAAAGCTTCCGTAGTATATCAATCAATAAATTTATAGAACATCAACTAATAAAGGTGACATAGAACCTCGGTCAATAAAATTGACTTAGTACTTCAATCAATAAAGTTGACAAAGAACATTAATCAATAAAGTTGACGTAGAACATCAATAAAGTCGACGAAAAACATCAATCAATATTGTTGATGAAGAACATTAATCAATTAAATGGCAAAAAAGAAAATAAATGAAGTTGATGTAGAACATATATTAATAAAGTTAAAAAGAGCATCAATAAATAAAGTTGACGTAAAACCTCAATCAGTAAAGC